GCCATTACTTCCTGTTTCCCAAATGTGTTCATGGTCAGCAAGACTGTGGATGTGGTCTACGCTGGATGGACACGTGTACAGGCTGATCTTAACTGTATGGCTGATCTCCATAACACCAGTACAACATGGAAATACTTCATCAACCTCTGTGGTCAGGATTTCCCTCTAAAAACTAACTTGGAAATTGTGCAAGCTTTGCGTTCACTAAAAGGAGGTAACAGTTTGGAGTCGGAAGAAATGCCTCAAGGAAAGAAGAAGAGGGTGATGAATGCTTACCAAGTAGTTGATGGAAAAGTCCAGGTACTTCTTTTGGATATTTTTTATAATGTATGATGTAGCTATTATCAATTCTCTTTGCTATTCTAAAAACCTTCAACTCAGACTGACTCCCCATCATGTTAACTTTACAATTGTCCCAGCCAATAGGAAAAACAAAGGATCCAGCTCCCTTTAATCTGCCCATACTATCAGGAAATGCCTACATTGTGGTCAACCGAGGTTACATTCGCAGTGTGTTGGAAGACGAGCGAATACAGGCCCTCACTAAGTGGGCCAAAGACACCTACAGTCCTGATGAGTTTCTATGGGCAACAATACAACGAATACCTGGTGTTCCTGGCTCAACATGGCCCAACAGTAAATTCGACATCACAGACATGAATGCAATTGCACGGATCGTGAAGTGGCAGGGGCACGAGGGGTCAGAGGGTTCCTTGCAAGCAGTATACCCAGAGTGTAAAGGCCACCACATCAGATCAATTTGTGTGTATGGTGCTGGAGACCTGCAGTGGTTGATTGAACAGCATCACCTTTTTGCGAATAAGTTTGATGCAGACAGATCCCATTGCTATCTAATGCTTGGAGAAATATCTGAGACACAAGGCACTGACTGAGTTAGTTTAGGTGGAGAGTTAATTATCTATTATAAATGACAATTCTATTAGATAATAAAACTATAAACACATTCTTGGATAGCATTGGATCATAATTGTCATGTGGAGATAGATGTGTTATGAAAGTTGAGGATGTACGTAAAATATTAATTTCATTGTAGGTTTTTTTCAAAACTCAGCACATCTTTTAATGTTTATTAAAATTTAATTACTACTACCTGTATTTATATTTCAGCAGACAAATGTTACTAATCTAGCATGGCGTGTGAAAGTTTCATAACCCAATGGAAAAACTCCTTGTGGCTTGCATAGATACAAATACGAAATATTATTAGTTTCAAAATATTCTGTAAATTCAATTTTATTTACATGACCTTAAATCACAGTAACGGTTGCCAATATTATAGAAACAACCCCAACAATCAGATGACAGCCTAAGAGTGAGCACATGGCAACATTTTTAACAGGAAGAAACAGCCTTAGGAAGGGGTGGCCAACAGCTACGTCTAGTTAGGGTGTGAAAGGAAGGAGACAGAGATAGAGATAGAGAATGAATACCATGCAAGCCATAAAGAAAGATGCACAAATAAATAAAAGTGATATGATCTAACCTAACTCTCTAAATAATAGACACAGTAAGAATAACTGTCTTGCATTCATACACACACACACACACACACACACACACACACACACACACACACACACACACACACACACAAATGTTCACTTCCCTGAGTTTGGGTGTGTGTGTCAGAGTAATTTCAAACTAAAAGCATTACAAACAACTTCTGTTACAGAACAATACAACTCTGCTACTTTATTCTCACAGTGACATAAGGGGTGACAACACTGTAAACACTTAATATAAACATTGACTGAGGCTTAGGGAGTGCAACATAATGTGAAACATTGCTGTATATGAGTGACCCACACCTTCATAATTTCAGCTGGTGTCGTCAAAGTATTTGGATGTTCAAACACAAATGTAAGACAGCACACAAGAATTAATATAACAAAAAACATCACCAAATAACATACTGAATTTATTTTGTTTTTTAATTTCTGTATTACATGTATAAAGACAAATACTTCATCTATATTGAATTTTAATTAGTAAGTGGCATCAGGCAGATCGCTGACATAATTTAATTTAAAAATTCTTCAATAAATTTCTTTAAACTAAATTACATCTCCTGTAAGCTTACTGTGCCTTCTGCTCATTTTTGTTGTTTTTTAGATGGGATGGTGGTATTACTCAAGACCGTAACTGTGGCTTTTGAAAATGCGCTATTATCAATACATATTTGTTGTTAACACATGTTTGGTACAG